AAATGAAATGATATTTACACTATGTAACAGGGCAGATAAAGCCTGGACTCAAAGATAAACAGTGTCAAAGATCATCTCGCTGTTTGCTATTCTGACAATAATAACTCAAATTTGCATTAAACTAAATCTGAATAATCATAATTTTATCACAACTTCTAATTATTTAATAATGAAAATAATTTAAATAAATAAAACCCCTAAATATATGCAAACCACTTTCTGAAGTAAATGAGACTATCTTGTTCAAAATAATTAATTCCTGTAACAGAGAATTATACTAATTACCATAATGTGGCAGAAAGGTCAAATAAACACACCCACTTCAAGCCTCAAAACGACCTGGCATTTCATAAATTAGCATCAAATCATTGTACTCCATGCAAGTGGACAGGGGTTTGGCTGATCGACGTGGAATAAGCCACCATCAAATGATAAAATTAGCCGACATCTGGCTGACAGGGGACGCAGTGTGTTTACAATTGAACAGGCGAGAAGGCAGTTGGGAATTATCCTCATTTGGTGATGGTGCTGGAAGGGGGGCTGCCTTTGTACCGCTCTAGATTCATCCAGAATATACATGTTTAATATGACCAGGCTAAGTATATTTAACAATCACATCACTTGGTGTTCAGTATTTCCATGTTTGTCAAGGCCATTGACAAGCTTGTATTAACCAACGCATGAATTATAGAGTAAAAAAGCATGAAAAAGTGAAATACACAGGGTCTTTTTTGTTTATTTATACATTTATGGCAAGACAACAGCAAAACTTAATGAGGTTAGTTGTCAAAATACGGCTAAATCCCTGTCTGCTGGGGGCAGACCCTATTAGGAGATTCATAGACATCTGTACAAGACGTCTTGTGCATCATCATTAGAATTTCAAAGTGGTTTTGATTGTTTGATCTCATATCCAGAAATTAATGTTAGGAGAGTCATTATCATAAACCCAGTTCTAAATTTGTTTTCCACGCTCTCGGTTATGATCCATAATTAACTATACTGGCGAGTTTACATTATTTTTCCCTTTTCGAATGAGGAATTCGCATGGAATTTCTCCCACTGGGAATTTTAAATGCCAATGCAAAAAAGGTTTTGGGGGGCTCAGAGTGGCTGTTTTTAGGATTCGCCAGACACAAAACATATTTCACCTAACAGCTACTCTATATATTACTTCCATTTGCGTGCCGACAGACTGAGACTGATTAAACCCCTGATCGCAGCTGCAAAGAAATTATATTACATTTGGTGGAATGAAATGAAAATACCCCACCCCCCTTCCTCAATGTTCTGCACTTTGGAAAGAAGGAGGGATGAAATAATGAATTAGGCCCATTTGAGGATATTGACTGATTCCCTGAGTGCTCACGGCGCCGTCCGTCCGTAATCTATCTAAAAAATAATCATTCATGCTCTAAATACATCAGAAAGAGGGGATCATAAGAATTACACCATTCAGCTCCATTGATTTGCATTGTTAATTTCCCACTTGATGGCTTCAGAGAGAGGGAGTGATGAAGGGGCCGCTATGGTGGGTATAAAGTATCCAACACGGCAAATCACAAGATCGCCAGTGTCAGCAATGAGATGAGGCAATGAGGCAACACAATTAAGCAGCAGTGGGGAGCGGAGTGCTGCAGCTCTCCATAAAACTTCTGCGAGATCACAGCCTCCACGCCTCCACATAACCATAAAAGCACTGCAGAGATAAAGCCCTCGCTACGAGATCTTTATCAGATGCCACAGCCAGCTAAAAGCAACTTGGGTGTTTACGGATGTGACTGGTGCTGTGTAAGATAGATCCTGCTGGATCTGACATCATCACCGCCTGACACCTGAGCTCTGTTGTGTCGGGCGGAATGTGAAAAATGACTGTGAAGAAGAAAGAGGTTCAGTGGAACTACAGCAGCAACCTGGCCGCCTGGCCGATATGGGACAGACATCATAAATAATGTAGACATATCAGCTAACTAAGATCTGTGTGTGTGTGTGTGTGTGTGTGTGTGTGTGTGTGTCAATATGGGGGTGTTTGCTAACTAGGGGTGTGAAGAATATGCAACGAATCACATGGGAAAATACACAATGTGCACACAAACAAAATACTGCTACCATTTTAAAATACTTAACATTATAGCCTCTTTTTTCAGTGTAGGGCATTTGGCCAATTTTTGAAATACAGAGAAGGGCTATGCACAGGGGTGTACATAAGTTTTTCCGCCTGGTTCTCATAAGAGAACCTGGAGATTTGGTTTGGTCCTCACACTGCACATAGTGTGATCCATTAAATACAACTATAAAAAAATTAAGGAAATCGTAGTAATAATATTGTTGCACTTTATTTTTTTTATAAAATAATAAACTAAACAATAAAATGTGATAATACTATTATATTTCAAAATAAAAAAGGAGTATTAAATACAAATACAACTATTTTATAGTAAACTTAAAAATAAAATGCTAATATTTACTTTTCATCATTTTCAAACTTAAAATCAGCAGGCTTTTATTTTGGCGGGTTGCTGGGCACGTAATTCAATGTGCTTCCGGGTTTAGCGCTGCCAACTGCACTGTGCTTTGAAAACGGCAGCAGGTAGCCTAGATTTATTTATCTATTCAGTTTGAATAGAAATCTTATACAGAATTACAGTTTGTCGATCTAAAATGGTAATTGTGAATTAACAGCTGTCAACCATGTCAGTACGCAAATGCGCTGTCAGAACTTATTTACACAGTGCATTTTTTATTTTGGTCACGCATGCGCACCTGCTTACCACTTATGCGCACCCCTGGCTATGCAAACTATAGAATTAAAGACTGGCTATTAAAGACTGGCTTCCTTTTAATTCATTACCTGTAATTTGAATTTAATTGGCCACACCCACAAGAAGTTGACCTGGAATTTACTGAATTCAATTACAATTCAAAGTTAATCAGGCATTATGGGAAATGAAGAGCTTTTCCAAGTTCATAAATTAGTTAAATATAAAAACAGTACCATCTTCTATTAGTGATATTTCAAACAAATCTATCTTTTCTATCTGTAAAGCCTATAAAACCTTCAAATGTCAAAACTTTTTACTTTTACTTGGTCAAGCTGACATTCAAAGTTTGTCTTGACAAACTTTTCTACTTAAAAAAAAAATACACTTAATGCTCTCGTTTGGCCTTTGCATCACATCACCCTGTTTTTATTAAGCACCTTGCACCATAATCCATGCATTTTTAGGCTACGTCCACACGAAGCCAGAGCTTTCCCTATCCAATCTTTTTTTTTTTTAACCTAGTCTCAAGAAATATATGTTCAGTGTTTGTTCATGTTTTTGTTGCTGTTACGTGACGTAGCGGTGTCTGACTAGGGGCGAGACGTGGGCTGATGACGTCCTCGTTTCAGAAAATATACGGATTCGCTGTCCACATGAAAACGCAAGGGCGGCGTTTTCAGATTTATCCACTCTGAGACCCGGTTTAAAAAAATATCTGTTTCGCTCTCCCAAAACGCCGGATCCGTGTGGACGAAACGCCTATACGATACAAAATTGATGCGTATAAAGCTAAATGCGTCTCCATGTGGACGGGGCCTTAAAGTACTCTCAAGTTAAAATTAGCACTTTTAAAACTATTCTCCCCCGCCCCCCCTCTCTCTCTCTCTAAAAAAAAGGACATTTAAAACCCATACGTTTTGTTCCATTCAGTTGTGCTCCATCTAGCTGTCTGAAAGGAAGAATGTGCCCTGTGTGAACGTCCAGCTCAGACCATTGAGTGATGACCTGGAATGAGAGTCACCATGACACAAATCGCTTTCTGAAGTATCGGTCTGCTATATGTATCACCGAAAAACAGCATAACTCATCATAAAAGTAAAAATTAGGTCCTGTTGACATATAGCGGTTACCTAAGTTCAGCTGGTGTAAAATCTTTTGAAGATTTAGATTTTTATTGTATTGTTTTAATGAGCACGGCTGTCATTGCTGAGTACTCAGGTTCTCATGCCAATCAGTACACTACACTCTGAATAGATTCATTATTTACTGTAGCTTTACTTAGCTGATCAAAATGGCTTTTGGAGCGTTGAATGAAGTGTGAAGCTTGTCTTTCATTTGCCCTATACTGTTCCATTATCTAAATGCTCATTCTACAAGTAGATATTTGATGAAAAGGAAAACAGCAACTGTGACAGCCATCGTTAAAAACATTTAACTCCGATAAACCCACAGTTACAGCTCTCGACATGCTTTCAATTAGAGAGGCCTCGATTATTGTATTGATTATAAAACGCTCAATGACAACTATTTGCAAACTCCCATTTGCATTTATGTAGCCACTAAAATGACACACAAAAGAAGGAATAAAAAGAGAGAAAGTGAGAGACGTGAGAGAAGGCGGCATCTGTTGGGGCTTTTAGACAGATATATCACACTAATCCATTGCTTTTACATGAACCCCTGTCAGGGTTAATTGGTATGTGAAGATGGGTAATGAACGGAAATGGCAGTGTTTATTGTTGTGCCTCTCTCATTAAAACAAGGCAGTTTGGCTGGCAGTTACGCACCCATCAGACACCGAGAGGAACATGTTATAAAATGATCAGCTTTACCCGGTGTCCTCCAATCTGAGCATAGTAATGCCGCATGACAGTGAGTTTCATAAACTATAATGAGGTTAAAGTCATAAGACGGTTTACAAAGATCAACCATACCCATGAGCATCATGGGAGGTCACAGATGGTAAAAGCAATAACATCCCAACTAACACAAACCTATAAATTCAATTGCATATGGGCACTCAAACACATTACAGCTAAAGTGTTTCATTTCTGTCTTCCATTGGTCGCACAAACTGAAAGTCCTGCCCCTAACTCGTGGTATTGGTTAAGCCGAAGTATTAAACACTTCAGCTTCACACCTGAAATCATGGGCATCATATAAAGAAACCGCAGGCAATAGCCAATACAAGTATGGACACGTCAATGAGCCCAGGAAGTGCTACTGTTCAGAAGTTACCTCTCTCCTGCGTGATGCCCAGCACGTCTGTTTGACTTTCCAAACCACAGCAGCAACCAGCAGCAGGGACAGGAAACAG